GGAGAGCCCATCGCAACAGTCACTGTATCAATCCACTTGGTCGAGGGTCTTCCTCTTCTTCACCAATCCTCCATCCTTCTGAGCATCATGTCCTTTTCCAAGGAATAGCCCTTCCTAGCAACATACTCCAAAGTATGTGAGGTGAAGCCTTATCATTCTTGTCTCCAAAGAGCACTCTCGCTGCACCCTCTCTAAGACATATTTGTTTATTCTTCTGGCAATCTATGGGATATTCAATACCATTTCCCAACACCACAGCTCAAAGGCATCAACTCTTCTTCTGTCATTCTTATTCATTCTCCAGCTCTCACATGCATAGCCAGATCGGAAAAACTATGGCCGGATCAGACAAACTTTAGTCCTCAAGCTGATATCATCCCTCCTCAATAATATGGAAAGGTCCTTAACTGCAGATTTCCCCAGTGCAAGGCATCTCCTTATTTTCTGACTGCTGGTACTAAGGGTTACTTCTGGCTTGAACTGCCAGATGTTCAAGTAGGATTTAGAAGAGAACAAGGCACTAGGGACATCATTGATGATATTCTGATGGATCCTGGCTGTAAGTAAAGAATAAAAGAAAAGTTGTCTATTTGTGCTTTACTGACTATGCAAAGGCATTTGACTGTGTGGATAATAACAAGTTGTTGCTGACATTGAGATGAATAGGTCCCAGAACATTTAATTATGTTCATGTGAAACCTATACCTGGCCCAGGAGGCTGCTGTGTGAACGATCAGGAGAAGACATGGTTAAAATTGAGAAGGGAGTGTGTGAGGATCGTATTCTCTCTCCATACCTATTCAATCTGTATGCTGAGCAAATTTTCCAGAAGCTGGACTCTATGAAAGGAATGTGGCATCAGGATTGGAGGGAGACTCATCAATAACCTGTGTTGTGCAGATGACACAAGCTTGTTTGCTGAGAGGGAGGAGAACTTAAAACACTTGTTGCAGAAGATCAAGGAATGCAGCCTTCAGTATGGAATGCATCTCAATGTCAATAAAACAAAGATTCTTACCACTGGACCAAGAGGCAACATCATGATGAATGGAAAAGAGACTGAAATTGTGAACAACTTCATCTTGTTTGGATAACTTTATTAGTGCTATATAAATAGATCTGGACAATAATTTATTTACTTGAATACCATAATTTTAGGTAGTACTTGGATTACAAGCAAGATCTGTCCCTAAAAATTTGTAGGTCAGTCAGGACAGGAGCATATTTTTTATTTTGCCTTACTTCAGTGTAACAAAAAGGATCCCTGATGGTACTATGTTAAGGCATTTGTTTGATAACCAAAGTTCACTTGGAGGCAGAACTGACCCTGTTAGCACTGGGTTTTGATTTAGTTAGTGCAAGAAAAGCCTTTTAAATTATTTCACATGCAACAAATGACAGTGATTGTGATGAAGAAATTGTTGCCAGGGGTTGGTTCAATCATTTCAACACACTCACCGTCAACAGGTCAGTTCCCACTCATAAGTTACCTTCCTGTTTTTAAGGCTGTACCTCTTTCTCTTGTGGAGCAGCTGGTGGATTAAAACTAGCTACCTTTGGGTTAGCAGCGGAAAACATTATGTATCACACCAATCATTTCAAAGTGATATATAATATCAATGTATGGCTTCCAAGATGGTGGTGCCCTGGTTAAAGATGGTAGATGACCACAAAATTTGTGTGTATCTTTCCACAGTGTTGCCAATAATACAATTTCCTATATCAGGCTTCTAAAAGGGCTAAGCTTCTGTCAAGTCTTCCATTTCAGGGTTCTCATTTTTAATTGTTCTTGTCATGATTATTATGATGAGTCACCTGAATGGTAAAAACTCTGGTCTGTTTCTGTTCTACTTCACATCATGATAGAACCCACTTAAAGCCCTGCATTAAAAGGTAAATAGATTTGCTCATAAGCTGAACTTCTATGTTCTAGGGCTTCCTATATTCAAAACATAAATACTAACGACAACTCAGAATTTACACAGCATAGAATGTATAAACAAATGCATATAAATTTTGGAGAAATAGCTGTTTATAACATTTAAATGTTCATCTTTTGAGCTGTGTGCAAACTTTTGTTCTTCTTTCAAATGAGTTTCTATTTATAAATACTATAAGCTTTGATCATAGATTTGGTATAAGTTTTCATATGACAACAAAAATTTTTTTCTTTTAAAGAAATAATAAAGTTTTGTTTTCCATTCTTACTCATTTTCTAGAATGGTGAAGAATAGGAAAAGATGAAGAAGTATAGGCCATAAGAAACAAAATGCCTATATGTTGTTTTTATGTGCCGTTGAGTAGGAACCAACTCATAGCTGACTCTCCAGGATTAAACACTCTCTCTCTCTCTCTCTCTCTCTCTCTCACACACACACACACACACACACACACACTCTCCCACCCCTCCTCCCCCACCCTCCTGGTCTCACCCCTCTCCAGCAGGTTTTCAGAAGCTGTTAATGGCGTGGGGGGAGACTGCCCATCTTTCTCCCTCCGAGCAGTGAGGGATTTTAAACAACTTGTATTTGGGTTGCCAGCAAAACTCCTTGCCATGAGGTCATCAAAGTTTCTTAAATGCTTGTTTAAGGAGTCCAGAATTACTTACTAAAAGCATCAATATTCTGATGTAAAAAAAAGAGGCTGGGTAAAAAGTCAGGAGTAGTCAACCTGTTTCAAAAATCAACCTACATTCCCAATTAAGAAAAAAGCTGTTTCACAAAGCATTTAATATTTTTATAGTTGAAAGAAAGCTTTCTTTTTACCATGAAGGTAATTTGGTATACTTATTCCTTATTTTTAGAAGCATGAGGGAGTGGCATCCAGTTTCTAAACAACATGGCCTCCAGAAAGTCTATGAACTTTGACAAATGTCGATAGTTGTAGAGGGGCTTCAGGCCTTTTGCTCATAGAGTTGCTATGAGTTGTGCTCAACTCGAAGGCAATCAACAACAACTCCTTATTTATCAACTATCTCATTACCCAGCATTTCATATTTACAATAGTAAAAATCTATTATCCAACTATTTTGTGCATTAACAACATACATCTGGAAGTAACAAATGTGGTAGGAAGCAAGTGTAATACTGTCTATGATGGTTAAAAGTGAAGTGTGATTCTAGTGTTTTGGCAAGTATTTAATGTTATCCTCTATTTCATGATCTGATGTGGCTCTACTTAAGTTTTTAGGAACAAACAGGTCTTTGGAATCTAACCATTTTGGTAAGTGAGGAATAGATGCATTAACTTTCACCAAATTCTACTTTATTATTGACATGTTGCTTAAAATTTGGTTTGTATGAATGAGTTTTTATAGATTTTCTCTCACTATAAAAATGAAATTATATTTCTCATTTAATAGTATACTTACTAGAAAGGTCACAAGGAGAAAGTATGTGGTAATTGAAGTTTCTTTTAACAAGTATTCCTGAGACCCGCTGGCCTTGTTCTGGTTTTTTGTCTGCTAAAAAGCCCATGACCTATGAAAAAAATAAAACCAACTTAAAACAAAATCTTGTAAAATGCAATTTATTCAAGTACTCAATCACAAAAATGAGTATCAGATACCTAAATTAGAAAACAAAATGTGAATATAATCAATATAAATAAATTATATCATTTTAAGGGCTGACCAGAATTTCTACCAAGATTCTAAAGGGAAGAGTCACAGGGGCTGATCTGGTAAGAGTGGCTAGATGCATTCCATTCCATTAGGTTCAACAACCAATGAAAACCTACTAAGTGTTAGATCTTAAGAACATTCTCAATAGTTACAACATAGTAGGAAAGGCTAGGAACTGCAGCATAGAAAAGCATGCACTCCTTTAGGCTAGTCATCAAACTGGTGGACAGAGATCGAGCCCCATTTACAGCTGACCCTTGGACAGGCTTTGAAGTTAGCTGACCCACTTACACAAATATTTTTTCCTCTTGTTGGTACTGTGGTGAGTGCAAGGGTTATTGATTGCCTCTGAATGAACAGTTCTCTCTCCCTGGAGAGATGAGCTGCTCACACGTGGAGATGTTCAGCACCACAGGCCCTTCACAGACACTCACTTCAAACTGGTGGTGTTCAAGGATCTAATGAAGTTATAATTGGATTCTCAATGGTAAGGGAAGGTGCTACCCCAATAACCTGCTGTTCAAGAGTCAATTGTACACCAGGACGGGATTCTATGCTAAAACCAGCAGCATCTTTGGATAAAAATAGGTGTGTATGAAGTTGGCATAGGTTAAAAAAGCTCGAGAGAATAATGATGGTTCAAAAACAAACACAAATCATACAAATTCACACAATCATTCATACAAAATCACACAAATAAAATGTCTCTGAGTTACAAGTAAACAAAGGTGACAAAGATAATGTAGTTCATGCTTGTTTCCTTTAGGCATCAAAGCACAAAATTCATATTTCACAATTATTTATATGTTTCAAAAATGAAGAAATTTGGGATTTCTAGCAACTTCTACAGTCTGAAATTGAATAAATATGCAATCAAGATGCATTAATAATAACAACTGATGACCAGAATGCAAAAGTTGGAAACAAAAGACTAGTAGCAGAAAAATTACCTTAGAGTAGAAACGTGGCTAGAGATCACGTGACAGAATTTTGTATAACACTTTTTCATTGTCAATACCTTTTTTAAAAAAATAGAAATGGTGGCTATATACATGAACCTTGTCAGATGGAATCCATTAGAATCAAACTGATTATATCTGTGGTAAGAGATGGTAGAAAAGTTCAGTATCATCAGCCAGAACTGGGCCAGAGGCCCAATTTGTGTAGGCTCAAACAGAAGCTGAAGAAAATGAAAACAAGTTCATGAAAACAAACACATGAGCTCAATTATATCTCATGTGAGTTTAGAGACCATCTCAAGAAAAGATTTGAAAAAGAATAAATTTGATGCACTAAACAGTAATAACTAAAGACCAGATGAGTTGTAAGATGGCATCAAGGATATCATCCATGAAGAAAGCAAAAGGTTATTAAAAAGACAAGAAAGAAAATAACACAATGAATGTCAAAAGAGACTCTCAAACTTGTTACAGAACATATGGAATCTGAAAGAAAAGGAAGAAATGATGAAATGAGAACTAGAGAAAAGATTTCAAAGGGTAGATCAAGAAGACAAAGTATTACAATGATATGTACAGATCCCGAGTTAGAAAATCAAAAGCAAAACACACTAGGTATTTCTAAGACTAAAAGAAGTGAAGAAAAAAGTTAAGAGCTGAGTTAGAATACTGAATGGTTCTATGGGCAAAATACTGAATGATGTAGGAAACATCAGAAGATGGAAGGAATGCAGTTACTATTGTTATATGCTGTCAAGTTGCTTGCAACTCACAGTGACCCTGAAACCTGCTCTATCTTCTGCCACTCTTATTTGTCTCTGAGACACCTACCCCATTACCCCAATCACTGAATCAATCCATCTCATCAATGGTCTTCCTCTCTCACTCTGTCCCTCCACCCTCCCAAGCATGACATCCCTCTCCAAGGACTGGTTCCTCCTTGCAGCATGTCCAAAATATGCCAGAACCACACCATAAAAGTAAGGAAACAAACTGAAAGGATGGGGAAAAAATATGCTATGCAATCAGTAAACAAAGAAAAGCTGTAGTTGCCAGATAGGCATCAGGCTTTAAAGGCAAAATCTATTATAAGACATAAAGAAGGGAAGAAGTAATTACATAACAATACAAGGGTCAATTTAGGAAGAAGACCTATCAACTATAAATAAGAATGTGCTGTTTTAGTTATCTAGTGCTGCTATAACAGAAATACCACAAGTAGGTGGCATTCACAGAAACTTATTTTCTCACTTAAGAAGCTAGAAGTCTGAATTTAGGGTGCTAGCTTTGGGAGAAGGTTTTCTCTCTACCAGTTCTGAAAGAAGTTCCTTGTCTTTTTTATTTTTTTTTTAAATCTCATTTTATTTAATTAATTTTAAT